AAACCATTTCAGGTGACTACCTCTTGAAGCTCATGGAGAGAATGCCAAGAGTGTGCAAAGCAGTAATCAGAGCAAAGGGTGGCTATTTTGAAGAAACTAGAATATAAAACATGTTTTCAGTTATTTCACCTTTTTTTGTTAAGTACATAACTCCACATGTGTTCATTCATAGTTTTGATGCCTTCAGTGAGAATCTACAATGTAAATAGTCATGAAAATAAAGAAAACGCATTGAATGAGAAGGTGTGTCCAAACTTTTGGCCTGTACTGTATTTAACAACAAACATCTGCCAGCAACAGAGAGCTGTGTGTGAAGGGGGTTAATATGCCTACTGGTGACTAGTTCAATAGACAGGTCACTAATAATAGGCTTGGAACTGTTTACGTGAACACGTCAGTTTATTAGAAACAACAACATACATTATGACATAACAGCAACAGAGCTCTCCGGCACCTCCAACGATATGCACGATTCTGGCGAGCTCGACGAGAGGAGATTTGCTGCATCTCCGAAGTACAACAAAACAAAATATTCAAATGTGGCGCTACGGACGGCGGTGGAAGAGAGCAAGAGGGTGGGAGTTCAGGGAGCGGATGTAGTGTGTCCCAATAGTATGCATACTGCATGCATACCGCATACTACACTACATACTTTTTAAGGGCAGCTGCAGTACATAATAAAAGTATATAGTAGAAGTAAGCAATTTGGAACGCAGGGCTTGCATGTTGTCTGGGCGCAACAGTCCAAGCTCAACAGTCCAAAATGGCGGCAGCGCCCCCTAGTGGAGCTTCGCCCCTTGGTGTCCATGCTCTTTGGCAGCGCCCTTGTCCGCCATCTTGTCTGCAGCTGGGTACTTTTGGGCCACGTGGGCCATACGCATGGGCGCATGCTGTGGCTGATCCACACACAGTAGTAGTAGTAGTAGTAGTAGTAGTAGTAGTAGCTGTCACAGTCAGATGTTTTGAAGACAATGCCATACAACGCAAATAAAAGGTAATGTTAAGGCAGGCCTATTCAATTAGGGGCCACATGCGGCCCAGAAGCAACCTCTGAGTTGCCCGGGCAGGGATTGGTACTGAAATTTGAATTTAATCAAGACCGCAATAATACTACTACTACTACTACTAATAATAATAAGCTCTGCCCTTATTGGCTCTGATTGTTACTTTTTAAAGTTTTGGTTTCATCTGTCATGCTGCAGCCTCTCTCCTGCTCTCTGCATGTCAGGGCTGACCTCTTCCTCACAACACACACTCAGACACACACACACACACACACACACACACACACACACACACACAGACATACACCCACAACAGAGTGAAGTCAGACAACAGCAGAAAGGCCGCGGTGCAGATGAAGGGAGTATAACATTGAAGATTACTCTAGCTGACGACAGCTACGCTTGTTACTGTAAGTAAGTGCAATTAAACATCTGCCAGTAAAAAGCTAATACTTTATCAATACGTGTGTTTGGCATAAGCTATAGAAAGCCATATTTCAATCCACTCTGACTACAGTCTTATTCACCGCTATTATGGTTTACAATCGCGGTTTACACAAGTACATCGCGCTAGCGGGGCTAACTAAAATGAAGGCTGTCTGTATGTAGTCTGACAATCTAAAAATGTACCTGAGGCAGCCGACCTGCAGATAGTGAGTCTCCTCAGTAGACATGGGACAGAGCAGAATGAATGATTGCTACTGATGTTTGTGTTCTTCTTGCTTAGATAACGTTACTTTTTTCACTCAGTATTGTGATGTCAGGAGGAATATTTATTTTACTGACATGCTAGATTTGTTTGTCTGTTGGTAGAGAGATAAAGTGTGTTATTAGTTACTGTTAATGCCACTAATTATTCTTCTGTGCATTGATAGCTATTTTTTATTGTTTCTGCATTATGTTGAGGAGGGCCATGTGTATCATGTGTGTGTGTGTGTGTGTGTATTATAAAGTATAAAATTCTATTTATAAAGTACGCACATCTCACCTTTCTCATATTTTGTGGCAGGCAACAAATCATATGCTGTTCAAAATGTTTAACTGTCCAGATAGCCCATCAGTTATGGTTAAAGAGCCAACTATTTACAGACTGTGTTGTTCCACTCCTTGTCAATAGAGGGTACCGCAGCACCCTTAGCACCCACCCTCCTGTGCCCATGATGTAACCAAGCAGAAGGAGATTGTATTTTTTTAATAACTCACCTGTTTACATTTCATTAAGGCTTAAAGTTAGGCATATTTAAGGGCTTGAGTGACAGGTTGTCTGCTGATTTGTCCTTGGCTTCTCAGTCAGATCCAGCCCCTCGCTCCTCCACAGCCCCACCCTCTCACCCACATATGTTCACTTTAGCAATGCAACGCAACGCAACGAGAGCAATGGCCGAAATACAGATGTTAAGGCTTCAAAATGGCAGTCCAAAAAGCAATGACTGGCATTATGGTAGCTACTTAAATTATTTTATACAGTTTATGGATGTAACATGTAACACTCAAGTCAGGCAGGTTTCTTCACCATAACACGGACACAGTTATGCTCAATGATCAGTATCTCAGTGTATCATTTCCATTTTTAAACTGAGAAGAAACGATATTTTAATGGTCAACAGGCACACAATCAAAGACACAACAGATGGGGACGTTGCTGAAATATTTTTAATGATTAGAAATGCTTTTGGATATGTGGAAGGAATAGACTAAAGAAAGTGGCTTACAAACACAGCATACTGTAATCCTCCACAGTTACAACAAAGTAGTCTTCATTTGTTTTGCAATCATCAGGGGATTCTACCATGCAGTGACATGAGAAAATGATCATTGTTGCATACTATCCACTTAGTGCCAAATAATCCTCCTTTAGAAAGGTTACAAAGTCAGAGAGGTGTGTTAATGAAATTCACGATCATTTTGGAGGCTGCAGTTTGTGCTGCTGTTGAATTGTATTATATCAAGGGGTGTTTGTATTATTTAGCCTCCTCTCATTGATATATAATCAATCAGTCAGTATAATGCAGGACAATTCAATGGCATCACACACACTGCAGTCTCTAAAATGACCATACAGTTGAATTAACATCTCTCCAAAAAAGTTCCAATCAAGAGAGAGGATTTATTGCAGGATTGTTGTATTAGACTGCATTAGTTTTAGCTTGTCATTATTAGCTCGGTGTACCTAATAAATAGGTAACTGAGAGTACATTAACAAAATGGTTTTAGTTGTAACAGCAGTAACACACAACATTCAGAATACATCATCTTAGAATTAACTGTAACTACATTAAAAACATTTTGTAGGCAGTTTCTCAAAAGGAACAAAAATTGATGTGATGATTGATTGATTGCTTGATTGATTGATTACACATTTAAATAGGAGAAGGCTTTTAAGATCAGATTTTTGACATTTCAACTATATCTTTAATTGTGAAACTAGATTTTCGATTTTCTGTAGCCTTCAGCACCTGAGTACAGTTGGAATTTTACTGCAGAAGAATCAACAATTATAAGTTTACAGTATAAACACAGTATTGCTGAGTATATTTTCTTAAAATAGATTTAATTAAGAGAAGATGAAGTTCTACATGTGTTTGTCCCTGTTCTATTCTTTTTTGAGGCTAGCATAGCAACCCCTCACTCCTTCCTGCACTCCACAGCTTTGCCCTCTTTCACAGGGCTTGTCCTTGCAGTGCACCACCCCTCCATGACACACACAGTGCTGCTGGCAGTCCGAGTCAGCGTAGAACTCCTCACCAGACATGAAGTACTGACCTTTGTACTGGCATCCACACTGAGCCAGTGGCACACAGCGATCCTAGAAGATCAAAGTTCAGTCAGGACAATGCCATACTGTTGCAGTGGCTGCAGTTACTAGATGGAATATTTGTGATTGACTATACACACTAAAGCATTTACATGTGCACTGAATAAAACCCTACTTCCTTTTTCCATCTGAGAAAATCAGAGACCATGGTGTATGAACTTTCCATATCAGGACCTCCATTTTACACTTTAGTGTAACACATAGTGTTCAACACAGTTGACAACTGTAACATTGTACTAAAGGAAACAGTTTTGACAGAATTTACTACTGTTGAAGATATTGAAGAAAAGGTGACCCCTCTGTTCAATTCCCCTAGCTCCCATTAAGAAGAAAGGTGACATACATATACATACATATTTTTTTTTGTTTGGTTTGGATTTTTTTCTAGGAATTTTGAGGTTTTATCAACTTGTAATTTGTATGGAACATTCTATAGTTGAGCTGGGGAAATGTGGACTTATTACCTCAGTATTATTAAAACACTAGCTACACCCCCAGTTCCCCCAGTGCTGCACCTCCACAGAAAAATGGTACTGACTACTTGCTAAGTACTAATACATGACACTTTTACATCAAATCCATTATACAGTTTGCGCTCTCTGGACTTTCTATCTGCCTCTGTCCCCAGAACTCGTACTGAGTTTGGGAAGAGGGCATTCATGTCCTCAAAAATCACTAAAATTGCAGGAACTTTTCACCATTCATGATTTTAAAACTCAGCTTACAGGCTTTATAATGGCAAATTTTGGAGTGTGTAAATGTTTTACTGCGTAGTATTTTATCATCATCACATAAATGTTCTTTTAGTGTGTATTGTGGTGCACTGTTTTTGTTTAACATGAACTTTTCCTCCTCAGGATCCCCTGTTACCACCTTCTCTGCCCCCATCCAGCCCTCTCCTCCTCCTCCCCCTTACCCCACCGGACTATATTTGTAGGGCATAACCCTTCCATAGGACTCTGGGCCTTTCTCTCTTTTTCTCATGTCTGTGCTTTCTTCTTTATGTGTGTCTTATTATGTTTTGTTCTTTAATCCTGCCATTTTGGCCAGGCCTTGCTCGTAAAAGAGATCATCTGATCTCAAGCAAATATGCCTGGTAAAATAAAGGTTAAATAAATAAATAAATAAAGGATATTTCAAGGTGTTCTCATCCCAACTTGTCAAACACTGACGATTTGTCAGTGGACCTAAACATCAAAAGACAATGCGCTGGGTAGTCTCCTATATCGGCTTTGACCGACCACAGGCAGAGTCTCAACTGACCCTATGCTTGGTCCCACCCCCAGATACAGACAGGCCAATCATAGCGTAGCATCGAGCCAGCTCAGACCAGGGTCCTACAACACGACTGTGCACCATAGACTTGTTCCAGATTTCCTTCATTTTCAGGATGGCTTTGTTAATTTTGAGCTAAACGTTGTGCCTGGAGCATATCATGTATTAATGAAACTCTTTACCTGGAGAGGTTAGAATCAATTTTCAATCAATTTTATTTATAAAGCCCAATATCACAAATCACTATCTGCCTCACAGGGCTTTACAGCATACAACATCCCTCTGTCCTTAGGACCCTCACAGTGAATAAGGAAAAACTCCCCCCAAAAAAACCCTTTAACGGGGAAAAAAAATGGTAGAAACCTCAGGAAGAGCAACTGAGGAGGGATCCCTCTTCCAGGACGGACAGACGTGCAATAGATGTTGTACAGAACAGATCAGCATAATAAATTAACAGTAATCCATATGACACAATAAGACAGAAAGAGAGACAGAGACAGAGACAGAGACAGAGATAGAGAGAGATGCAGGACAGACTAATGCTAGCTTACAACAACATTAATGAAAGTAATAATATTATAATTATAATTCTGGCTATTGTGGTACAATATGTTGAAAGTATATATTAATATCTGATAGTTTACATATGTGACAATAATCATAAGTGTATAATAATAGTAGAAGTATGACTAATGATAACAGCAGCAGCAGGAGGCATCTGGCAGGACCACGGCAGCAGCACAACCACACACCTCACACTATCCATGCACCGCTGCGTTATGAGTTAACCTGCAAGATACATGTTTCTTCCCCAGTCCAAGGAGATACATGTTTCTTCCCCAGTCCAAAACCAAATCCAAACCCTGGAAAGTGTAGTATTAGCTAGCAAGCAACTGAAGGTATGCCCTACTGAATGTACCGTCAAACTTAAATTAAAAGCCTAGTCCTAATTAAACACCCAGTCCCTTTTACTAGCCTGATGTGGCTACACATTTTAACAAATAAAGGCCTGTCTCAATTAGATGTCTGGTCTGGTTGCCAAGCAGTTAATCTTAATAGAAGTTCTTTGGATGTATAAAACCAGTATCTTGGCTACCCACCTGAGCTAACGTTAGTTTCCTGCTTCAATTGCACATACAAATATAACCATGAACACCAAAGAAGACCACAATTGATTCAGATTTACCTGCATGGTAAACAAGAGAGACCAAATAAAAAAAACATTCATCTTCAGACATGCCACACAGCTGGCTGAACTTTGGCAAAGTTTCCCTTTATAGTCATTGTCTTCTGTCTCGATCGCCAGTGATGTAGTGGTTCACTTTTACACTGTGATCTGAATGTTAGATTTTAGCCTGTGACTATCTACATCTTTTTAACCTGTTTTTGCTGCTCAGCAAGTTTGACATCCTGCATCTATCACATCAAACAGCTAACTCCCACGTGAAAGTTCAGTTTGTTTGACCCATCCACTTCCCATTCTATACAGACTTTCACACTCTTTATCATATGATCTTTGCCAGCGGCATCAGAAATAGCCGCTACAAAGAGTGTCTCGGTGCATAGGTGTCTGATGCTGACATCCACTGAGATAGCGGTGATATTTGACCAGTTTGGTTGTGGCTGGCAGCATCAGAAATAGCTGCCGCCCGGTGTGTGTAAGGTGCCTCTGAAGGGTGGGGTGGTGGAGCAGTAAAAGATAAAAGCAGGGATGTCCCACTCAGGTCTTTTTGGCCCAGATTCAATGACAAAAGAGAGAGGAAGCACGAACAAAGTCACATGGCAGCTGAGGGGCAGAAGAATGATGTGTAGGATTACCTGACTCAGCAGGTAACCAGGGTTGCACACACAGCCTTCACTGGGCGGGGCTTTACACTCAACAGGTGCAGATGGAGTGGTGCAGGTGATGGGGCAGCCAGAAGCTGTGACTGTGTACATACTGTTGACTGGACACTGCATCCCTGACAAACACAAACACACACACAAATACAACTTGACAGTGCCAGTACTAATGCAAACATACTTCTTTCTGTGTACAGATTTTCTGTGTATATACATTAGGGAGTGTAACAACACACATATTTGTATTGAACCATTCGGTACAAGGCTTTTGGTTCGATGACAAACTGAATGATACTTTTAGCTATCCTATTCCACTTGGAAAATAAAATATACAGCATAAACTGTGTGAAACATTGTGTTCTCAGCTGTGCTCAACAAGGTAGCCCACAGGACAGAACAGACAGTATAGCGTCCCAGTCAAAATAAAAGTCTGGACTACTGGTCTAAGACAGATTTTTCCATTCTCAATTAACTCCATCGACAAACGCAAGAGCTGAGCAGAAAATTAAGAAAAACAGAAGACAAAACAATGCATTGAACTTAGCTTAGCTTAGTTGGCAATTATACAAAAAACTACAAATTATTGGAAAATTAGACACAATCCGTGTTTATCTCGGTCCTAATAGCGTCTGCAACCTCTGTGTCTACAGTCTCTCAAAAATAAAAGCACTTCTTGCTTTACTGGAAGTATCAAAATAAAGGCAACTAACACATCGACTACTGAACATTGGGGTCATTTACAGATAGCCCACCTCCAAACCAGAACATTCTACTTACTAGGATGCAGCTACGCTAAAATTACAAGGTGGTTAGTAACAGAATTACCAGTCCAGAAATACAGGATCCTCTGATAACCTACAGGTCTGGTGTTTGGAGCCACTTTGGTTTCTCTGTGAATTATGAGAACGATGACGAGAGAGTGGTGAATTAAAACACAACGGTATGTCACATCTGCTACACGACGGCAGGTTAGATCAATGGGATACTTCGAACATGTCAACTCATTTACACCGAAAATTACCTCAGTGTGTCAATTGGTGGAACTTGACAAAAACAAAAAGCAACACACACTAGAAGGTAATGTTATCCCTGCAGCATTTAGACAGCCATTTCTAACTGATTCAAACAGACAAAAAACCTTCTAGTCCACGGGATTATTGTTCACATTGGAATTAATGATTCGTCCCTTCGACACTCTGAGGTGACCAAATCACAGTTCAGACAACTTCTACAGTTCCTAACCAGCACCGGCAAATCCATCTTCATCAGTGGACCGCTCTCTCCTCACGGCTGTGGGATAGAAAAGTTCAGCAGAGTCCTCCACCTCCACACCGGGCTCCAGTCTGTCTGCAGGGCACTCAGTGTAGGCTTCATAGATAATTTCAACTTGTTCGCCAATCCTTGTTAAAACCCAACGGTATCCATCCAAACAGACTCGGCAGCTACATGTTAAAAGCCAACCTGCAGCACGCTGTCCAATCATACCCACGTGACTGACTGTTTACTCACGTCACCCACTCACACACACAGGTCCCTCCCTCTTCTTCTACTGTGCCTTCTCCGTCTACCCCCCCTACAGGCCCCTGCTGTCACTACACCCCTCTGCTGCTGCTTTCCCCATTGCGACCATTGTAACTGTCAGACCCTTCCGCCCTCAGTCCACTTTCAGAGCTGTAAATAAAAATAACCTCTCCTACATAAAACTGAATTCCCCTGCCTCCTCATCTCACAAGGATGATAACACCAATGCCAATTTCGGACTGTTAAACATCCGCTCGCTCACGAGCAAGGGTCAGCTCATACAGGATCTTATCATGGACCATAAGCTTGATTTTCTCTGTTTAACAGAAACATGGCAACTGCCTAATGATTTTACTCCACTTAATGAATCCACTCCCCCCGGATTTATTTATAGCTGTCCACCGCGTGACTCTGGCAGGGGAGGAGGTCTCGCGATGCTCTACCGTGAGAAGTGGAAAGTCCTGCTGGTGTTTACCCATGCCTACCACACATTTGATTCCATCACCTCACAGTTATCTGGCCCCATCCCCACCATCGTTGCAACCGTGTACCGTCCCCCTAAACCAAATAAGGAGTTTTTAAATGACTTTGCTCAATTCCTGACACATCTTTCCACACTCTCTCCAAAAATATTACTCCTGGGTGACTTCAATATCCACATGGACAATATCAGCAATGCTCTCACCAGAAATTTTACATCTTGCATTGACAGTTTTGGACTCCAGCAACTCATCAATTTCCCAACACATTCAAAAGGACATACTCTCGACTTAATGTGCTGTTCTGGTCTCTCTCCTGTCAACTGTAAGGCAATTCCCCTCCCCTTTTCTGATCACATGTTAGTTCCCTTCAATGCCAACCTTGCACTTTCCAAAATCAATCTCCCACGCACTATTTCTTTCCGTAATATTAAGGACATTAATTTGGACATTCCTCTAGCATTAACTCCCTCCCCAACGCAGACAGCTTTTCCAACCCTGATGAACTGGTACTCCATTACAACAACAGTCTTCATAATCTCCTGGACTATCTTGCCCCACTCAAAACCAGATCTGTCACTTTCACCCGCTCTTCACCATGGTTCACTCCCGTTCTCAGACAACTTAAATCCAAAGGACGCCAACTGGAACGCCTCTACAATAAGACTGGTCTCACTGTGCACAAGGAAATATATCACAACCACATTCTCCACTACAAGGACTGCATCTCACAGGCTAAATCCTCCTATTACTCTGGTTTAATCAACTCAAACGACAGTAACTCAAGGGCCCTGTTTTCACTCCTCAGCAACATTACTCAACCTCTGGACTCACTTCCTCCACAGATGTACTCTACTGCCTTTTGTAATACCCTTCTATCCTTTTTTAGTGCTAAAATTCATAACATCCATCAGCAACTTGCTCCCAGCTCCTCTCACAATTCATCTTCCTTATTTCCCTCTGTGTCCCCTTCCCAGTCACTCTCAGCACCTACCTTCCGTTTTCGAAACCAACGGTCTGATCAAAAATCCAAATCGTCAACCTGCCAGTTAGATCCCCTTCCAACTGCTCTTGTTAAAACCACCGTTCCCTCTCTGGCCCCTCTCATCACGCACATAATCCATTCTTCCCTCACCACTGGAATTGTTTCCTCACCCCTCAAAATAGCTGCTGTCACCCCAATACTCAAGAAACCTGGCGCAGATCCCAGTGACCACAATAACCTCCGTCCCATTTCCAATCTTCCATTTCTCTCAAAGATACTTGAAAAAACTGTTGCCTCTCAGCTCCATTCCCACCTTCCCTGCAATAATCTTTTTGAACAATTCCAGTCTGGTTTCCGCCCTCTCTACAGTACTGAAACGGCACTTCTCAAAATCACCAATGATCTCCTCCTGGCAGCCGATTCCAGTCTCCTGTCCATCCTCATCCTGCTTGACCTGAGTGCGGCCTTCGACACCATCTCACACACCACCCTCCTGGACAGACTCCTCTCTATTGGCATCACAAACACCCCCCTCAACTAGTTCAAATCCTTCCTCTCCGGCCGCTCTCAGTTCATCCAACTCATATCATTCACATCACAATCACTCCCAGTCACCACAGGTGTGCCCCAGGGCTCTGTCCTGGGGCCCCTGCTATTCATCATTTACTTACTCCCCCTTGGCTACATCTTCCAGAAACATCATATCCACTTCCACTGCTACGCGGAGGACACCCAGCTCCATATTTCCATCAAAGCCGACTCCACCCTCCCACCTTCCTCCCTCACAGACTGCCTCCTTGAAATAAAATCCTGGTTTTCATCCAACTTCCTCAAATTAAACTGTGACAAAACAGAAATTCTACTCATTGGCACTAAAACCACCCTATCCAAATCCCCCAGTTTCACATTATCTATTGACAACTCTTGCATTTCTCCTTCCCCACAGGTCAGGAGTCTGGGTGTCATCCTCGACAGCACACTTTCTTACACTTCTCATATCAACCACATAACCCGGTCAGCGTACTTCCATCTCCGCAACATCAACTACCTCCAGCCCTCTCTCACACCTCACACAGCTGCCATTCTGGTCCACAGTCTCATCACCTCCCGGCTTGACTACTGCAAGTCCCTCCTGTTCGGTTTTCCACAAAAAACTCTCCATAAACTACAACTGGTGCAGAATTCAGCAGCTCGTATCATCACAAGGACCCCATCCACTCACCACATCACACCCGTCCTGCAGCAGCTGTTCAAATCCAAACTCAAAACACATCTGTTTAGACTTGCCCATTCCACCTGATCAAATGCACTATGTTCTTACATTGTCTTACTGTCTTCCACTCTATTTTAATGTATTTGTGTGATGTTTTGTAGGGCTGGGGGGGGGGGGGGGGGGGGGGGGGGGGGGGGGG